ATTTTAGCTTTAGAATTTGTCAGGTGCCAGGTTCACTGGGAACATCAGCTTTCTCTATTATGCTAACTAGACACTGAACATGATCAACATAAGCTCATTATGTGTTCCTGTTGAAGCAGAAGCAACTGCAATTAACCCTCACTTCTCTTCCCCATTCCATAGACTGCCAAAGGATTCTTGTCAGAGAATGGGGTGTGCAGTGTCAGGGAAGGTATGCTGGGAGGGCGGCTATGTGTGATTGTGAGCTGGCCAGGTCTATAGGTCCTACAGGGGATTCTGGGGGTCTGCTGAGGCAATCACAACGGACTCGAGGCACAGTAACACAACATCTGTGTCAGGGTGGCTAGCTGACTGCTCAGCTCCTGTCAAAAGTAATAGCTACTCATCTCCAGCCATGGAAGAGAGCAGGTCAATACTGTTAGACAGCTGGACCACACACTTCTCTGTGCCAGAGGGGTCTTGCCTCATGGCTTCCATTAGACACTAATTAGAGGACTCCCTGTCTGAGACCACGTTCCCCATTGTCCTAGTGTTTCCTGTGTCCCAACGGACCTTTCAGGAATTGGTGATGCAAGCTATGAGCTCAGGAAGTCGCAGTTTCGTGGAGCTGTTTGCATCTTATCCATGATGTTGGTGAGCTCAGTAGTGAATAGATGGTCAGAGTGTGGTTCAGCATTCATTCAACAAATGCAAAGCATATGCATCTCCGAGTATCTAGCAACATGGATCCAGCTTGTCCACCATGATCACTCTGTATTTCACACCTCTGTTGGTCCCCAGTGCATGCAGATGACATTCCGAATGCCTGTATTGTTGAAATCCATCTTATTTACTGAAATATAACCACAGAAAACAACCATATTTTGCTTTCGTTGCTTACGAATATTATTTTCCGGGATCCCCACTTTTAAAAGGTCATAATTCCACCATTTTTTAATCATCGAAACTTTGGTAGCATAATAGGAGTAAAGTTCAAGGGTGATTTGTTTTGTGCATTGATATTGATAACTTATAGTGTGCTGCTGTTTGGATAATTTCAGCTGTAGTTGAAAACGCTTCATTAAGTCCCATTAAGTAGCTTGAGGAATGAAAGTGGATATAGATTGTGTCTTCCTGTTACAACTTTATATTGTAGGATAGGGTGGGTTTTTTCACCAAGAATTTTTGAGAGATGATGTATTCTTTTTTTAAGCCTTAATCTGGGTAACTATTTAGTTCAGAATCTGTTATTTAAATTCTTCACTATCCGAGTCCAAAAGTTTTTCTCTAAACTTCTCATAAACATATATATATATATATATATATATATATATATATATATATATATATATATATATATATATATATATATATATATATATACTCTTTTAGGCTCAGTTGGTAAAGTTCTGGCCATGAAATCCAAGAACCTATGTGACAAAACATGTTGGGTGTGATGGCACATGTTTGTAATCCCAATACTAGGGAGAAACAAAGGCTAACATTCGAGGTTCCCTGGCCAAGCCAGCCTAACTTGAAGAGGTTCAGGCCAGTGAGAGACTCTGTCTCTGAACAATGGTGGATATCAAATGAATGCCACCCAAGGTTTTCCTTTAGTCTACACACACATGCACCTACACACACACACACACACACACACACACACACACACACACACACACACACAAATGTTTTGGCAACTGTGACTTAAGGACCTCAAAATTTTTATCAGTTCATTTCAGGACATAATTAACCATAAGAGATTGGACTAAGTATCTAAAACATTTAACACTTTTGTTGGTGGTGGTTGGCTTTATCAAATATAACATAGGAAGTTGCCTTTTAATTATCAGCCCCTTTTTCTCAAATTTCAGTGAAACCCTTTATTGTCTGTTTACCTATATTTCTATCATTTTTTCTTGTATTAGTATGCCTTCCCATTTTCAATATCAGTTTCCTGTCCTTGCCTGTAACTTAAAGTTTTCCTCCAGTCCTGCCCAGCCCTGCCATCTGCAGCTGCTTATGAAATAATCACTCAGAAGCTAAAATTAATTAAAACTGCTTGGCCATTAGCTCAGGCTTACTACTGACTAGCTCTTACACTTAAATTCGCCCATTTCTGTTAATCTATATGTTTCCACGTGTTCCATGGCTTTACCTGTGTGCCATTACATGCTGCTCCCTGGACGGCAGGCTTACATCTCCTCACTCAGCCTTTCTCTTCCCAGAATTCTCATCTGCTTATGCTGCCTATACTTCCTGCCTGGCTACAGGCCAATCAGCATTTCATTAAACCAGTGTATAAAAGCATTATCCCACAGCGTTTCCCCTTTTCTGTTTAATTAAAAAGGAAGTTTTTAACTTTAGCATAGTAAAATCACATATAACAAAACAGTTATCAAGCAAGAATTATAGTTATAATATTTAGTCTATTTGTATTTGGCAAAAATCAAAGAAGATATCCTATCTATCCTATATTTGTGTTTCCAAGGTTTCATATCTACCTTATCTCCTATCAAAACCAATGAAAACCATAATTATAACTATCTAGCCTTCAACTACATCAAAGACCTCAGAAGGATATAATATTTCCTAAGTAAACAGGAAGTACATTGTAAGTACCTTCCAAAAATCTAGACTGACAGAGACAGCTGGCTACCTGGACAGTTACCCAAAGTTCTTTGGCAATGTTGGAGCATCCATTTCAGCCCATAGGCCTCCTCTCTCGATCACTTTTATGTGTCCTGTAGGATGTATGGCAGTTTCTTTTGCAAAGCAGGAACCTGAAGGACCATTTTGCCTTGCAAAGTTCAGTGATCACCTTCCCATGGGTCCTGCATGTCCAGTTGACACAACATTTTTTCAAGCAGTCCATGAAAGAACAGTTTCTTGCTCAAATGGCTATTTTTGCCAAGAAGAAGATAAACTCCATATAGAGTGTCTTCGATGCCCATCTTTCTCTTTGAAGTAAATCAATGCTGCCAAGAGCAGACATGTCTCACTATCCAGAAAGTCTAAGTTTTTAAAACATTTCAAATAACATATTCTGTAGGTCTTTGAACTATTTAAAGATTACCTACCTAATTGAAATATATCTATGTATATCTAGACAACTTAACTAACATGACTACAGGTTTGATTCTCATAGATGACTAATTATTAATCTGTATTTCTTAATTATGCATTAAAATTTTAAATGAGTTGCACAAACACAATGCCTTAAACAAGAGTAGAAATATATATAGTATAACTTTATTAAAATTAACTTTAAGTTTGTAATGAACTAAAATCTATAGCAATTTAAAACATTTTATACAAGTTATTGCTCTTTAAAAGTAGATTCCTTAATCTACCCTTTCATCCTATCTATACTATCCCCTTTTCTTCTTTAGAAAGAGATTGCATTTATAATCAATCTGCTTTGAATAAAAATAAACATTTATAAACAATATTTTGGAAATTTGGGCATAGCTTCTCATACTACTTCCTGCTGGATGAGGACATTGGCAATCTAATGGGGGATCCTGAGAAAATTAAGAATTATGGTCAAGTTCTGACTGGAGTAGTCTGTGATGCTGTATTCTCTGAGCCAGTTGCCTTGAAGTTGATTTTTGGATGCTGGATGATCTGGAGACCTCTCAGGGAGTCTTCCTTGATCAAGCCATATGAGACTGGAAGCAATCCACAGGTTCTCATCTTCTGTGGAAACAAAAGCAGAACCTCTTTTCCAAAGCAACATATCCTTAGACATAGATTTTGAAATTAAGATATCTTTAAAATATACATATTGATTTAACTCAGTAGCTTTTACAATCAAATGTCTCTCTGCAGTTAAAAATCCCAAGGACAGTATAATCCAGACTCTTTGTGTGATTTCCATCTTTATGTGGCTTATTTTTTATAGTACTTTTATTTTTTCTTTAAAGAGTTTATTTTTTAAAACTTTCTATTTCTTTATATAACTGTCTATATCCCTTTTCCTCTCTCTTCCAAGCCTATGCTTATTTTTATACACACTGTAAACCATTTAACAACTTATTCCATCTGAATCTGCCTTACTGTGAATCTATTGCTTTAAACTGCAGTGGTCAGTACTGAAGCAGCAGCCTTGGCTGCTGACTCTGCCCAACTCAGCTTTTCAACATGGTGGAGATGATTCACCACCATCTCTGGGAGCCATGCTGTCTGCTGACTCTGGAAGGTAGTGGGTCTATACTTCTATCCAAGCAGCATGTAGCCCAGAAACCTCTTTTTTTTCCCCTGTAATCGCAAAGGCTAAATCCACCATGCAGCATAATGTGAGGCTTGGAGATGCCTCATTCTCTCCATGCTGCAGGTCAAGCCCTCATGCCACGAACCCACCATAGAGTAGCTCAAGCCTGCAGACTGCGGCTGGCCTGAGAGACACAACTAGGCAGCTGTTTTTAGCTCCGTTTTAGAATGGTTTTGTTGTTGTTGTTGTTGTTTGTTTGTTTGTTTTGTTTTGTTTTGTTAAGCTTTCTCAGGTTTTAGGTGGAAACTCTTGACCCATGTTTTAGTGCCACTTGCCGGCTACAAACGAACAAACAAATAAAACCCTGCTTAGTTTTCTCCCAGACAGTGTGATACAGATTCCACAGGCTACTGGTCAATGGGGCCTGTTCCTATGCAAGATGGTCATGGCATCATGGTAAGGGTCTCAAATCCACAGGAGTTGTATTCACAGCATTGCTTAAGCACAGTACTCTATCCAACAAATATAGTGAAGAAACGTATTTACTTGATGAGAGGACTGATGGCAATTGGGCAGGTCCATCAATAATGTGCCTTGAAGCCGGGCGGTGGTGGCGCACGCCTTTAATCCCAGCACTCGGGAGGCAGAGCCAGGCGGATCTCTGTGAGTTCGAGGCCAGCCTGGGCTACCAAGTGAGTCCCAGGAAAGGCGCAAAGCTACACAGAGAAACCCTGTCTCGAAAAACCAAAAAAAAAAAAAAACAAAACAAAAAAAAAAATAATGTGCCTTGGTTTGGAATGTGTTTTAGGAAGTTCTACAGCTGGAGAGACAGATGGGAGGACAACTCCTGGAAGAACCGAAGGCTCTTCATTTTAAAGGCAGCATCCACAACCTGCGCCTGTCGATTCATGACATTGCCCATTCCCTCTGGAAGAGCAAATTGCTGGCAAAGTATCAAGTGAGTCTACCAAGAGACACCAACTGCGTGGATACAGATTCAAGACAAATTATTGAGATTTTATAGTCATAAGATATTTCTTGGAATTACTTCCATACCAACGCTTATTTTTCCAAAACAATATAGGGCCAGCATTCTTGAAAAATGCCCAATAAGCACATTTAAAGGAACGGTTTTCAAAGTATTCTTTTTAAAGTAAGTGAACTGTTATTTTAGTTTTTAGTAAGTTTGTTTTCAATGTACACATTCACTGCATTAATAGGAACATCCTCAAATTCATCCATAGGAGGAAACGGGACACTGTTACCCTATCTGACATGTATTAGGCTTCCTTCCATATTGCTAGCTAGCGCATCACCAGAACATTGAAGGAGCCAGAGTTTGGAGAGTGACAGTATGTCAGTGAAATGGCATGTTGTCACTCATTGGTTCTGGATTTACACCAGAACCTCAGCCTACACTGTGTTCTTTAATGAATCCTTTCCTTGGCTTAATTGCGACGAGTATAGGATTTGCTCTGTACAGTAGTTTAGATGGTTACAGATGAGTATCTGGTATCGGCTTGGTGTTTTTTAGGCCAAGGACTTTTTTGTGGTGACTGACTTCCAACTGGAGCAAGCTTTAGCTGCCCCTGCCCTGGGCAAAGGGAGGCTAGAGGCATGAAAAGATGTGGAATCAGCACTGCATCCTGTGGCTAGCTTTGCTATTCTCCAACATGTCACACCAGGGATTCCTTTTAATGAGAAATGGAGTTTGAAGCATTTATTTTAGGAACTTTCTAAGCTTTTTAAAAATTTAGGAACTTTCTAGGCTTTTTAAAAAATCTTATCTACAATGACTGTTTTTCTAAATGAGAGGCAGGTAGCCTGGTTTGTTATTGATTCTAGAGCTTGACTCCATGGGTTCCAGGCTCAACACACACACACTTCCTCACTGTTCAACACTGGCTGTTGTTTAGCCTCTCTGCACCTCTGCTTTCCTGTGTGAAGAGAGGTGAGGCCATGTTTGCATGTAGGGCAATCATGAGCCTGGAAGAGGTGAATCCTGAGAAGAGGCAGCGTTTGATGGGTACTTCCAGCATTTGCTTGTGGTCACCCCCCCCCCGTATCTTCCAGGAAATTCCATTTTACCATATCTGGAGTGGCTCTCAGAGAAACCTCCACTGCACCTTCACCCTGGAAAGACTCAGCCTAAACACTGTGGAACTGGTTTGCAAGCTCTGTGTGCGACAAGTAGAAGGAGAAGGCCAGATCTTCCAGCTCAACTGCACTGTGTCAGAGGTAAGACATGCTAAGGATCTTGGAGAGGGTTTCAGGGAAAAGAATGGCTAGGGACAGGCAAAAGCTTTCCCTGTGGAGGTGACATGGAGGACTTCCCAAGCTGGTTCCTATGTGTTCAATGCAACTGGAAGAGGAATCATTTTCCAAAACACTGTTTTCCTACACCACCCTTTTAAGATTCATAGCGTAACTTACAAAAAGAGGTCTGAGAACAAGACATGACAGTAAATTCCTATAATCCCCAACACTCCTGAGATTTACTGCAAACCAGCTTGGCCTAAATCGTGAGCTGCAGGCCAGCCATGGCCACTAGTAAGACCAACTTTTAAAACACTAAGAGATAAACACAATGAGATCTGGACTTCAAATGCAGATTTTAGTGGCGTGCACATGACACTTTCCACCAGCATCTTTCAACTGCTCTCTCTGCCTTTCTCTCAAAGGGACTTCTGTCATTTTGTCATAGCCGTGTGCTACTGAGTGGTATGAAGGAAAGGGGTGCCTGCTGCTCCAATTTTCTCCACATTGAAAGGAGAAAGCTTCTGGTCTCCTCCTTTCTTTCTCTCCCCTCCATCTCCAAATATCAGAGGCTATGTCCTTTCTCAGGGTGGAGGAGATACTCCAGGAATAGATGAAAATCCACACCCTTCATAGCTGTCACTTTTGCCTTTCTCTGCTATGATTTTCACACACTCAGCTGGGCATTTTTATACATTCATATTCCAGCAGTAACAATAGTTGCTGTTATTTCAAACCTCTCTGTAAGGAAAGAGGAGGTACCCATGACCTTATCTGTCCCCTTGGATGCAAAGACTATGGTTTGAAAAGCGGTAAGCCTTCATATTGGAGGAACAAAGGACGAAGAATAAGCCAAATGGTCAGAAAGCTGCCCCTCGTGGCCCCTTGGAGCTCAGCTCCATGCTGCTGCCTGAGCCACAAAGCCCAGGAAAACTACAGCCGGCAGTGTATGATTTAAAATACTTTTTTGTCTTGTGCATAGTGATGACTGCAATGTCAGTCTGTTCAGTCTGTCTTGCGCCACATGTCCTATTTAAAGATGATCTTCCTTAGCAAACGAGACGGGGGTGGGGGGGAAAGCATGTGAGCTCATTGAAGCTCCAATCTTCTTTCCCACAGCCTGTGAGGTGCAGTCATCCTCTCCTCCTGTAGTTTCATGAGACTTTTGACTCATAAACAACTTTAGTCACAGACCTCAGTGACATTCATAAGGAATGATCTCTGTGTCAGGGTGCCATGGCAACCGCCGGGCCTTTGGATGCACAGCCCTATCTCCCAGGCACACAGCACCACCCCTGCTGGCTTCGGAGGGTGTTTTCACTTTCCTGGCCCAGCAGGTCTGCAAAGTTCAATAACCACCCAGCTCAAGTGACAACAAAGGCTTCGGAATTTTGGAGGGGGGTGAGGAGTCTGGCCCTTTGATGCATGCTTTCTGTTCAGCATGAACATTTGCTGTGCACTGAAAAGGTGGATCAGATGCAGCCACAAAGAAATGAGAGCTGCTCTGAGTTCTCCCCCACCAAGCCTGCTAGCTCCTCACACAGAAAGGGCAGTTTTGCAAAGTGTGATCACAACTTAAGGACTTCTTTCTGGTGCCAACACAGAAAAGATTATTGCTTTTGCAACTTGGCAGACAGCTCAGAGGCCAGCCCTGTAGTCACGCGCCAGGCATTTGCCCGTGCGTGACAGACAAGCAAAGGTACTGAGGATATGGAAGAAGTGACCAGACATCTGGAGTTTGGGGATTAAGGGCACTCTACTGCTTGTACTTCCAGGTCACTGAGTTCCACCACTGTGGTTTGCATTTGAATGCAGTTTGGGTTTTGGAGGAGGGAGTAGGGATCTGGTACTGATGCTGGAGCAATGAGAGGCTCTATATGGATGAATAATGGGCTCTGCGGAGTCCAGTGATCCAAGTCCTCATCAGAAACTGAGAAGTGGTCCAGTATGATTCACAAGTGTAAAAAATAGAGAAAAGGCTTCATTTACGGCTACTTTCTTCTGAGCCTTGCTCCTTCCATCACAAGGCAAGTTAACAGGTTTGAAGGGGTTCTATTTCCAGTATCATATCCCCCTAGAGTGATCTGTCCTCTTAAGAATATACTGCCTTTTCCCACTAGCCATCGACTAATGAAGGTTATTTACCAGCAATCATTTATAAAATCATGCAACTCTGGGCCTCTTGAACCTGGAATAGAACCTTTTGCCCACCACAGAGACCAGGCTGTACAGGGCACGCACCATGGTTTACTCAGGAATCACCACCTGTTCTTCTATGTTTCCTTTACCAGATGGTCCTCAAAAGCTTCTAACTGTAGAGAGGAAGTTTAAGAAGGAAAATGCCTAGAAGCCTAAAATATTGGTGTGAATGAATGTCAAGATGAAAATAATGATGAAAGACACTTCACTTTTTCTTTCTTTAGATAGGGATGGGGTGACAATGTTGTCCAAAGTGAAAATATGCTACAAAGAAGGAAGAAACACTTGGATTTTGTTTTAGACTTTGATGTCGTTTTAGTTTTACACCAAGGCCTATCACAATGAATTCCCAAGTGGACAGTTCAGTAGGAATGTACCCAATTATCTTCCCCTTTATCATTTCCTTATGCTTAACCTGGCATACCATTATTTGTTTGTGCTGTTGAGAAAATTCAATATATGAATTTAAGAAGTGTCATAAACAGAACTTGCTCCATGACACATAATCACATCCACCATTCTTATTAATGGAATAACTGGCTTTAGTAAGCATTGCCTCCCCAATCTGTGGGATACCTAAGCATTAGATGCCCCTTTCTCAAAATACACGATACACCTCAGATTGCAGAGATGGTTCACTGGTTAAGCTGCTCTTACAGAACTCCTGCATGTAATTCCAGTACCCACACTGCAGTTCACAACCTCTGTAACTCCAACTCCAGGAAATCTAATGTTCTTTTCTATACTCCGGGGCACCATGTACAAAATGGTACACATACACACATGCAGGCAAAACATCATATGCATTAAATAGAAATAAATAATAAATCTTAAGATGTAAAGGGGTTTTGTGGTTACCATGGTCTATATGAAGAAAAGTATCATCCACCTAAAGGTGTGGCTGGAGATGTACTCCAGTAGTAGAGCACATGTGTGGTGCATGGAATGTGTGTGATCACCCAGAACAGATGTTTGGGTAATGCTGAAAAATCATATGTTTAACTAAGAGAATTATAACATCAAAAGCAGATGGTACCAATATCATAAAAGATTATTGTAATAAACGTTCTGTGAGAGTAATCTCTACTTTTACCTGGAAGTAAAGGAAAAGTTAACGGCAGCTGAAATTACTGCATGAAATTTAAACATAAATGCATACATATATTTTTCTGATTCCCTTAAAGGTATTATAAAAGTATACTGTCAGTATAAGAGTATTACAGAGCTTGTTTCATAGACACAGAAAGACACAGGCAGAGTAGACAGATTAGGACTTAGGACAATGTCCATATAAAATAGTGCTGACTCCTTACTCAACAAAATAAGCTGAGTGTGTGAGATCTTCCTGAGATCCATGCCTACTTTAAGCTGGCCTTTCTTTACCTTCAAGGTTTACCCATGAGGAGAATCAAGCCTTCACTCATATTTAGGTGGAAGGAAGCACAACACACTAATCTGCAGGTGGAGCTCAGGAATAGGCTTCGTTGTCCCCCTACCCTAGCAAAAAGTACCTCCTCCCACTTCAGCAAACAGTAATTGAGTGTGAGGTGAGTACCATAGGGGAACCTGTTAATAAACAACAAATAACATACTCTGCCTGCCAAGAAGTTTAACTGACTGAAGGAAGTTGCCGTCTATCCAGTTTGCATAAGGCTGAACCTGAAGAACACTGAAGGCCTCCAGGTAGGGAGCCTTCGGTACACATGAGAAGGAGTGTTGCAGCACAGGCCCTTTAGGCCAGATTCTGAGACATTTCCCTAAGGGATTAAAGGAAAGCACACGTGATCTGTCAAAGGGCTGCTCCTAGAAGTGGCAGTAGGTACAGGAAGCAGGACAGTCTGCAGCCACTGAATCCCATCAAGTATCACCAAGATGGCACCCTGAAAAGGTAGGGGTCAGATTGTGAAGTGAGGAAAGCAGAATTGTAGGGGGTCCCCTGCTCCAAGAAAAATTAGAGCTCAGTTTCTACCTTCACCTCTAGGGCTCCATGCTACTCTAGGCAGAGGGTGTACATATCCTTCACTGTTTAATCAAAATTAGTGAGTAAACTTTTAAAGAAAAACTAACACCAATTCTTCTCAAACTATTCCACAGTTTTCAGTAAAAGGCAGTTTTCTAAGCTGATTCTATGACACCAGCATTGCCATTTAAGGCAATCAGACATACACATAGCTATGGACCAATACCTAGGACAAAGATGACACAAAAATTGTCAACAAAATTCTGATCAAGAGGATTTATCTCAAAAACTAAAGGATGGCTTAATACTTGCAAACTACATACCATGTATCATACAGATAGAATGAAGGATATAAATTATATAAACATCTCAGATATAGGAAGGCATAACACAATTCAACAACTCTACATGTTAAAAAACCCTTGAACAGATTATATATATAGAAGGAGCATACTTGAGCACAAAAGAATATATCGTAAACCCAGAACTGTATCATACTGAGTAGGGAAAAACTGAAGGCATCTGCTTCCTTACATTTCTGACCTAGCATAATTCAAGAAGTTTTATCCAGAGCAATTCGGCAAGAGAAAAAAAGGAAAAGGCAAACAAATAGGAAAGGAAATTTTAATGTCTCCCTTATGTTCATGGTATGATTTTATCCACAGAAAAACAGACTCCAGAGAGTATTATAATTGATAATTTCAGTAGTCAGATACAGAACTTACAAAAATCAATAGCTTATCTATACATTAATGAAGAATTGCAGAGAGAAATCATGACTACAATCTGGTTTATAGTCACCACAGAAGGAAAAAAATACCTTGGAATAAACTTAATGGAGGCAGTAATACCCTCTACATTGAAAAGTACAAAGTCCTCATGAAAGATACTGAATAACACATATATAAGACAGACAAAACTCTCATGTCCATGGATTAGAAAAAAATAATGTTCTTAAAATGGCTATGCTACCCAAAGTAGCCTTCAGGTCCAACACAACCCTGAAATTCATAAGGATTAAAAATAAATAAATTTTTAGAGTACCTAAAGCAGTCCTGAGTGAAAATAGAAAATCTGGGGGCATCACAATACCTGATTTATGTCATAGAAGTCATAGAAGCCCAAACAATACAATATCAGCATACAAACAGACACATAAACCAATCAAACATATTGCATCCTAGAAACAAATCCATGCATTTACACCCAGATACTTCTTAACAGAGGCACCAAAGATGCACATTGGAATGATAACAGCCTCTCAATAAATGATGTTGGGTAAACTCAACACGTGAAGAAGACTGAGACATAATCCTCCTCATCCTATACAAAAAACAAAACAAACTGGATCAAAACCTAAGCATTTAAACCTGAAACCTTGAAACTACTGGAAGAAAACACAGTGAAAACATGTCAAAACCTTGGTAAAGGTGATGATTTTCTGGGTAGAAGGCCAAAAGCACAGGAAATAGAGCAAAAATGGACAGCCAGGATCACCTCCAATTACAAAGCTTTTGCACAGCAAAGGAAATATTCCACAGATGAAGGGTTGGCTACAGAATGGGAGAAAACACATGCTAGCTTTAAACCTGACAGGTTCTTGTCTGGAAAATATCAGGAACTAAAGAAATTATTCTAAGTTTTAAAATGAGAAAATTCTGACAAAGACACTTCTCAGAAGAATACGAACAGCCAACAAACAAGCCAAAAAAGTGCTAAGTTGGCCACCAAGGAATACAAATCAAGACCACTGTGTGATGTCACTCACCCCAGTTAGGAGGGCTATGATCAAAGTGACAAACAGTAAATGCTAATGAGCATGTGGTGAAAAGGGACTCTCACGCTGTTGATGGGAATGTAAATTAGTGCAGTCATTATAAAGGTGCCTGAAAATAGTAAAAAAAAACGGTCCACTGTACGATCCAGCTGTACTGCTTCTAAGTATACAACCAGAGGAAATTAAACCAGTATGCCCAATCAAACATGGCTATATACCTTTGTGTATGCAGCACAATTCATAATAGTTAAGTCACAGATTCAGCCCAAGCAAACCCTCAACAAAATAAATATCTTATGTATAACAATGGAGTATTACTCAGTCATAAAGAATAATGGGATCCTGTAATTTGCTGTGAAATGGCTAGAACTGGATGGAGGTCATTAAGTAAAATGAGCCAAGCACAGAAGAGCAAATCTCCGTGTGTGTGTGTGTGTGTGTGTGTGTGTGTGTGTGTGTGTGTGTTCTACTTTCTCTCTCTCAAACAAAGAACAACAACAAAACACTGACCTGAAAGTGGAATAATGAGAACTGGAGATTGGAAAAAGTGGGGGTTAAAAAAGAGTGGTGAGATACGATCACTTCACCCTCTATGCTTGTATGAAGGGAGACCATTAGACATTGACAGTTAAACACGTGTTAAAATATTAGGATTGGGGAGATGGCTCAGTTGATGAAGTGCAAGGATCTGATTTTGATTGATAGAACTCATGTTAAAAAAAAAAATCCAGACGTGGTACACCATGCATCAATAATCCCAGCACTGCGGAGGGGAAGAGACAGAGAACCCTGGGCTCCCTATGCTCTGTAGACAGGCAGCCGAGCCTTGTTGAGGAGATCTGCACTAATGAGAAATCCTGTCTCAAAATCTAAAGACAGTACCCGAGGAATGACACCCACAGTTGTCCTCTGGCCTCTACATAAAGCCACACACATGCACGTACACCCATGAGTACACACACACACACACACACACACACACACACACACACACACACACACAGGTGCAATATTTGAAGGTTGGAACTTCATGTGAGAGGAAGGACATTAAACCCTTCCCTCAATGAAGGAATAGGAAGAGAGAGGGGCGGGGGAGAGTAGCACACATGAGTGAGCTCTGTAGGAGGACAGTCTGACAGGAGTGTGCAGTGGGAAACAGGCAAACAGTAGGAAGTTACTGTGGCCAATGATGATAAGGAGACTCTTTGGGGACAAGAGTCAGTGCTGCACAAGCCAATTCCTCCCTGTACAGACTTTAACCTCCCCTGCCATCTAAGGGCAATCAGGTGGGGATGTACTTGAGGAGTTGTAGGTTTCCCTTCCAGGCCTAAAGAGTAATCGTGACTGTAATTTTCCATAAGCGAGTAAGAGGACTTGAACCTGGGTGAAGTCTCTAAACTGGGCGGGGGGGGGGGGGCAACAGTGTGGGACTCCTCTCTGCTCCCACACACCAACACACCCATGCATACTGCTGTGCCCAATAGAAGGGTTGCAACACTTGAATTCTAACATCTCAAACAAGAATCCACTGATAAGCATTGCTACATGCCCCCCAATGACTCTCTGCTTGCCTTTTTGAAGCCCTGTGACCCTAGAGGTTATGAACTCATGATCTTTGGCAGGCCTCTGTGCCTGAGGGGAAAGAATTGTAGGTTGCGAGTCTCATCAGAGCTTTCTAATCCTGTTGGATACTTTTGAGTTGCAGCCCACAGTCTAGCCATGGAGCCAGAGCTAATACAGAGGCGCCAGTGGCATCTGTGTGCCAAGCTATGGATTTTGAGCCCTGATACACTGATCACAGCCAACACTATTGTGTGTATTATGCAATTGAGAGAGAGAGAGAGAGAGAGAGAGAGAGAGAGAGAGAGAGAGAGAGAGAGAGAGAGAGATTTGCTTTAAAATGTCCCCAAACTGCTTGACGGGCCCTGTCCAGAAGGATTATAGAAGTTGAAAAATCAGTACTGGCCACTGATCCCCAAAATGCAGGCCACCCTGTGGGCCACACTTGGGATGCTGCCAGCTGAGACCCCACCTGCGCCTCAGAGCTCCAGCACTGACAAGTCTGCAGAGACGTTAGAATCAGGGCTGGACATGAGGGCAGTGGCATTGACCCCTCAGCTGAGCACTTGGCAGGATATCGCAAACTTCTGGATGGCCAGACCTCTGTGACTAGTGCATTCTCCAGCAACCAATTGTACACACCAGGGAGCTACCTGCTTTAAAAAAGGGATGACATTCAAAGCAGATTTAGGAGATCTCCTGTTATTGCTTTAATGGTTCCCAGGCAGCATTTCCTCTTGCTTTCAGACTAGCAGAAGTGATCAGAAAATGATTAGAGTTTCTCTTGCCGATGATGAAATTTAGATTTTGCATTTGTGCTGTTTTATGAGCTGAAACTATTTTAAGAGCCAATTTATGGTTTTCTCTACTAAAATTGGATTAAAAAAAATAAGCAAGGAAGTTCAGCAATTAGACGACACCATTAGTGGCTTACCCTAAAGCAATATTCTGTGTTTACCATTTTCTTTTTAAAAAGTTTGTCTTAATTTGATATCTCTTAGCCTTGTCCCATTTTATCAAGCAAGAGTCAAAGGGAGTCACATTTGCAGGGCTAGATAGAATTTCCTAAGTGTTCACCCAGGGCATGCCTTTAGGGTTAGATGGTTTCCAAAAGCTCTTCCTCATCTCAGATCTATTTATTCATTCAGAAATAACTGCCCCATTGAACATTTTAACGTCTAAACCTTCTGGAACACAGACATCCCCTCTCTTCTCTCCTGGAGAGTCTCATTAAAGGAATCATCCTGAAATCTCACCAGAGCTTTCTGTCCTGCCCAGTCCTGACCAAGGACCCTTGAACACAGGCTATGCAAAACTACCTCCATATGCCCCCCCCTCCCCCCCGCTTCTATTTCCCAACTGCCCACAGTAACCCACTACTTTCAGGCCAGGAAGAAATTGTCCTTCCTGAAGAGAACAGAACTCATTCTCTGTATCTATCTCAATTTATCTCGAGTAAGGCTTTGTGTTGATTGATTCAACAGGGATTGAATTTGTCTTCTGAAAATAAAGTTGTGCCATTCCTGCAGGAACCTACTGGCATCGACTTGCCTCTGCTGGATCCTGCGAGCACCATCACCACTGTCACAGGACCAAGTGCTTTCAGCATCCCTCTCCCTATCCGGCAGAAGCTATGCAGCAGCCTGGATGCCCCCCAGACAAGAGGCCATGACTGGAGGATGCTAGCCCATAAACTCAACCTGGACAGGTGAGTGTGTCCAGGCTTCTAGAACTTTTGCTGTTATTTAGCGGAGGTCACCAGGACTGGAAACAGTTAGATAGAAACAGCATTCCTTTTCTTTTTCTCCCCATTACATATCTGTTTACATTTCCACTCTGAAAATATGCATTAAGCTCTTTTAGACCTTGTACCATGAGTTTCCAACAATTCCAAGAGAAGTTGGGTTACATGACATTTATCAGTATTAGTCATGATCTCCTTTGTCTAGCTCATGTGCTAAGTACTCCTAAGTATAATCGCCAGTTGAACAAGACATAATGTGTGTTGAATAATTTACATGCTCACACAGCACTTGTATTAAGTTATGAAGAGACCCCGGGAGCCTCTACTTTGTAAGATGTAGCTGTCACCTCCAAACAAGAGATGTGGCATGACCTGTCAAAGATCATCAGAGCTTGCGCTGGACAGAAAACATAAGCCTCTTGATTTCCTGTTTAGGGCAAAACCCACCAACACATTGTCTCTTAAATTATCTTATTCAGAGTTGAGGTTAACAAAGTTAAACAGCATGTGGCCTTTCTGGGGCTGATCTAATTAAGTATACAGCAATCATTTAGTAAGGTTCACTACAATCCACAGTGAGACCAAAATATTTCAAGAAAGACAGGTTTAGCCCAGAAGCAGAGGAGAAAATAATACTGTAAATAGACTTGGAAATCACACCTTTTAGCATATTTTCCCATTCCTAATTGCAGGTACTTGAATTACTTTGCCACCAAATCGAGCCCAACTGGTGTGATCCTGGATCTTTGGGAAGCACAAAACTTCCCGGATGGAAACCTGAGCATGCTGGCAGCTGTTCTGGAAGAAATGGGAAGACACGAAACAGTAGTGTCCTTAGCAGCAGAAGGGCAGTATTGACCACACTGGAACTGAAATTGAGGGACAAAATTACACAGGGAGTCTGTGTCCAGGGGAACCACAGCTGAGGAGGAAATCCAGATGGGACCAAGGCGCTTATCAGGCAAGATGGCAGCAGGAAAGGTGGGGGACAGATATAACCACCAAGGTACATGCCCACTTCATTCGGACAGCACCACCATGGGAGTTAAGAAAAATTGTGTAAATTTGTACCTTGAATTTAGAAATCAATCTAATTTTCTCTTCGTTGGGCTGTATGCTGTATGGTACAGGATCTTACAGTTTCCTAGGAAACGCTTTTTATTGCTATCCAGATGTATGGATAAACTTTCTTAACAAACCCAATTTCTACAAACGTTGTTTACATCAAATTGGACAGGGATACAGACACTGTCCATGGCTTGTTCTATTTTTGTTCCAATCATTTGAAGTTGAAGCTGTGGACGGTTTGTTGAGTCTATTTCAGATTAGTAATTTACAGAGAAATCACAGACTTTTGCTACAAATCATGTACATCAAGTGTCTCAGATAATCCTCCCATCAGTGTTCTGTTTCTGAAACTTGTCGGACCAGTGTTGGCATTTGTATCAGGGAAGTGGAGGCTCTAAAAGGAGGCATTACCAAGGTTCCTTATGCCATGGGGGAGCCCAATTGGTGTCCTTTGGGAACAGAGCTGCAGCATTGCAGGGGAGACAGTGATCACGTACCTCCACACAAACATTTCAGTACCACATGTGTTTGTAATATGCTATTTCAAGTGTTTTCTAAAAATAGTATCATTGTTATTGATGAGTATTACAAATATTCTAGTAAAAAGATTTTCTTTTGCTTTAGTTAGCAATACTGTTAGTATTTGGTATTGACTAGACCTGCCTCCCTCTCCTGCGTAAAGAGGTGGGCATGGTCACCAGTTTAGTTCCATAGGCTTTGCTTCCTTAACCTTTGATCTACCATTCCGTGGTGGTGGAGACTGAAATGCTCACTGGCTATGTCTGCTCTTGCAGCTTGCTCAGGCAGTCTTTCTGTTCTGGGTCTTATCATGAGGAGGGTTCTCTATGTAAAGCTCATTTAATCTTCTGGCTATCTATCCGAGAGGCAGTGTGGTTTGTGGGCAATAGTTCCTGAACTAGGAATCAGGGAGCCAACTATCATTCTGGAGTTGCTCACTGGCCATGTGGCCTTGGGGAAAACACTGAAACTCACTGTAGCTCATTTTACTTATCTGTAAACTATGGGGTGAGATCTGATCATCTCAAGATTCCAGAATGCCAAACTCCCATTGTGATGCCATCAGTCTTATTCATCAATTTGACGATTATAAGAGATTCTAGCCTGGACCATTTATCCAGCCAGCCTTTTGCTGGAATACATTGCATCTTTCAGGCAGTATTGACTTGAAAAGGGGATTGCTTCAACATGCATATATTTGTTTGGCTCTCTTGTCTTTGTATCATGGTTGCATGATGCTGTTCACTGAGAGATGACATCTTTTTATTAGCATTGTCTTGTCCTCTGTGGGTGGAAGGCTACACTCCAGCCTTCCAACTAGTTATAAATCTACTTTACTCATTTATTGATCTCTGGATCTCAAGACCATTTGTACAAAATACCCACGCAGCTGAAGGAATTGGTACATTTTTTTCTTTATTAATCTTTGCTTTAATAATATTCAGTTGTGTTTACAGAGTTTAATTAGCTCTTTTATCCTACAAAATGTTATTTGTGGAAACTATGAGTTTTCCTTGGAACCATCACCGCTTCTTTTAATATAGGACCTCCATTCAGCAGACAGAGAATAAAAACTAAGCAGCCCCAGTCACAGTTAGACAAACAGGGAGCACCCATGTCCTTAAACCAGAGCCTTCAAAATATTACTGTGGCTTACTCTGGGGCTGGCAGTATCCAGTACGCAGAATAGATTCAAATTAGAAGTCATTTTGCCTGTTTCCTCTCCTATTCCTGTTCTTGATATTCTCTGACTCTTCCGTCGTAGTCATTAAAGAACTGTGGATACAGTTGTGGAGGCTCATCATTCATGCTGTTTATCTTCTCTTTTAGATATGTAGTCTACAATCTCATTCTCTAACCATTAGACTATTCACATGTAAAACTCCTGGTCCAAGGGGAATATTGTACTCCTAAACAAGTTCGGTGGCTGATGTCTATAACAATCAGTTTGTTTTAACACTTAAGAATTTAGACAGATATTCTTAAAAAGCAAGAGGAAGAAAGAATTGTCCACTGCTGCCTCTTGAAACAAATATGAAGATTCCTTTTCAGTACTGGGATTTGGGAATCATTATAGAAATCAAAACCTAGAGATCTGGCCTGGATGTCTTGTGTAACTTCAATGCTTTGTAAAAAGTAGAGAGGAGAAAATGTGTTACCATTCTGGTTAATCTATCCTAAAAACTGCTAAATCACCAACAGAAACATTGAATATAAGTAGAACAACGTTGTTGACGCTTTTGAGGGTCCTCTTGTTCAAGTATATAGAGATACTTGCTTTTTGATTCAGTTTCTCACAACAGGAATAGGAAGAATGACTGATCTCTTATGAGGTGCTCATTGTCATAAAACTACTTTCTATCATGTGAATGATAGAAACTACAATGTGTATGTATGGTATTTTCCTTTGGAGAAAAGTAATAGTAGTTAGATCACCACTCTCCAACACACAAGGTTCCACACAGCCTGAGGAAAGGGGTACTTGATGCCCTTGGGTAGAAAAACTAATCATTTGTGTATGGTGCCATCTAGTGGCCTGCTACATAGTTACTTGGCTTCATATACAGCTTATTAAAAGTTGACAAAGCAAGTAAGTACCTACAGAGTTTGACAAGAGATTTGTGACAAATAGACATGGAGAGATTTTCCTTTCAAGTGTTTGCTTTCCTTATTGTAATATTCATTCAGTTAAATCACCCATTTCAAAATTTTATGAGTACATCATCTACTTGTTCATACATATCTTAAGTTACTTTCTTATAATAGACATATATGAAATCTCTATAAGTGGTTGAAAGTTGTCTTTTTTATTTAAGAATCCCATTGGGCTTTGCATATTTGAAATCTTTCAGTTCCAAAATACTACCTTTTAGAAACATAAACTGTATTCATTAAGGAGGTACCCACATCCCATAGCTACATACATACATACACACACACACACACACACACACACACACACACACACACACACACACACACACACACACAAACACAGCATCTCCTTGAGGGTTTTGAGATTTATTCTTGCTAGGTATCCCAGGACAGCCTCAAATCCATAATCCTATTCCCGTAGGTTCTCCAGTGCTGAAACATTAAGCATGTACCATTACCCCTGCTTTTCAAAGCTTTGTATTTGTAAATGAGAATCCTGTGTCTGTGGAAAGGGAAACTGTGGCTGTTGATCAAGAAGAATGACCTTCAGATCATGCTGATCTTCTGAGATTATGAATGTAAAGGCAGAGGCTTCATGTTCTCATTTTTTTCTCATGACATTAATTCAAATTGACTTGATAGCTGAGTACAAGGTGACAACCAGCATGTGTGAAGAAACTCACAGCCAAACATCTTCAAAGCAGACACATTACCTCTGCTATACAAAGGCTCCATCTTCACCTGAGCAAATTTTCATCTCTTTAAGGAAAAGATTCTTTGGGAGATGAGAGATCCAGGATCAAACTGTATTATTAGCTATTTTCATTTATGCTATGATTTTTAATCATTTTTAAATCATTCCACTATCAAAGAGTAGAGACTTTTCTTTAGGGAAAAGTCACAATGACTACATTTAGGGTCTTCTAGATTTCTAGAGTCCAGATACCAGACTTTCAGTGGTTTTAAAGACATTTTTCCTAAAATAAATTGAAAAGGGAACATTCAGAGGGTGGGATCTGGACACGCCACTTCTGGAGAAAAGCAGGCAGGCTCTTGTCTTACATCTCCACTCATCTCTGTTGAGGACCTGGCAGCTGTGTTCTTGGGTCACTCCCACATCCATAGTCACAGGATGAAGGGAGCTTCTAAGAATGATGTTCTGTCCCGGAATCCATCCATCCATCCAACCCATGCTCTGGGGCGACGCAATGTAGAACCAACTGAAGAAGTTGTGATGAAAGTAGAAAGATTTCCTTGTTTCGAGTCTCCAAGATGAACGTGAGTTCATTCGCGCTGAGCAATTGCTCTGGGCAAGTAATCCATTCATATGCAGTGTTGATGTAAGTCCAAGGCCAGTGGCAGAAAGGAGGACTGCAGAAACACAGTGGGGGTGGAATGAGGCTTGAGACATCTTTTTTGAGAAGATTTGCTAATCAGAACATCATTGTTCAAACCAGTCACTTGTAAAGATGATAATGGCCAATGAGCATCTTATTTTATAGATCCAAAAGGAAAAATATTTTTATTATTATCTCGTTAATAAAACTGGTTTTTGCCTTCCGAGTGCCTCGTGGGACCAACTATCTTATTCCTTTAGTTTTGTATTGTTTTTGTATTTTTAAGTATACTGAGCTGACATTGACTGAAAACCTTATAACACTCCTTCTGTGCAACGAAATGCCATTTCTCTGCCCTCAAGAGATCCATTTGTGTCACCTCTGCTTATCACCTTGACAGGTCCCCTATAATGTTTTTGATGGAATGGGGACTATGGGGAATATATATATTATAACCAATACTAATTTAAGTTTGTGGTCATGTAGACTACATAAATGTTTCCAAATCTTGGCAATTAAGCTCATTTTTTAAAAGAGTGGAGATGGCCTGCATGTACCTGGGTGGAGTATCTCTTCAAACTAACAATCCAGCTATGGATCCTTTGGTATTATTGGACAGATGGTTGCCCCCCATGCTTTTATTTTCTGAAAACTTACTGTGATAGTCTTCAGAAAGTCCAGTGGGCTTGACTGTTTCCTTTATTGAGCTGTGGTGGGATATTAATGTGGCTCATTCAACCAAAGGTTATTTTCTGCCAGAGGCCTATTTAAATGTGGTTGGGGAGGTATCCTCAGGACAAACACACTCCATAAACATAATAGCAGGCAAACCCAATGGGATATAAGATGCTACCTGAAAGTCTTCAGTATCCTCAACTATATACTGAAGGGATCTGTCCCAGGAACTTCCAAAATCCTAAATTGGAAGTCCCTGCCATATATGGGACAGTCATAGCTCAACCCACTTAGTTGTTCAATAGAAAACCAGGGAGTGTGTGAGATACAATCAGCTGTCCACCAACCATGTTATTTGCTATGGCACAATAGTTTTTTCTGTATTATTTGAGAATTTGTGCTATGGTAGAATCATAAAATTGCAGGCAACAGTACTGTTGGGCCCATTTTAAAAAGCTTAAACTCTGTGTCATCTATATATACCAAAGGCCTAATGCCGTGGAGCCTGGTGACACCCAGCAGTGGTGACTGTGAACTGTGGGCTGGTTGTACTGATCAGTAGCCTAAGGGTGATGAGCTCTTGGCCTTTGATCTTCACTCACCACTATGAAGTGGTGACATCAAAGCATCATGATGAGCTCTATGCTGTATGTTAAACCAGTTTTAAGACAGCATTCAAAGCAAGGTATCCACAGCCAGTAGAAAAATGCCTTTGCTGTTTTTGTGTTCCTCCAGTCATTAATAGGACCTATAACTGTACACATATGGATTCTCATATTTTTCTTCAGATCTTGGAAAAGAAAGAGGAGCCAGTTGAACACATGACTTACATTCCTTCTTTCACTTTTTTCCTAGACCTACTATGGGTAGTGATGCCCTCACCCTCCAGCCAATGTGTTTAGCCAAGTTGCAGGGAATATTATCACTGTGTGTGTGCACTTGCGTGTATGTTGGATGTCACAGTGTTGTGTGTATTGAGCTTAATATTGAGCTGTAGGGAACCAGTAACCTTCCTCTTTGTTCTAAAGATGAAAACCAATATTCATCAGAAAACAATCCCCAGCTTTCTGCCAAAGAAAGGCTGGGCCACCCTTGGGCTGTCTTCTTTGGACCAGCTCAACTTCATAAGTATCAGGTTGAAATTTTATGCTTTGTCAGTTTTTCTTTATTTTTTTAGGGAAAACAACACAACCTTGGCTTCTCAGATATGGAACACTCCTTTGTTATAGAATTCTGTCTTGCTGTATCTTCTATGCAATTCCTTTTCTAATGACCCCTGGTGGCAGAGGAGTGCTCTCCAGCATTCCACTCATCGCCTTGCTGTGTGGTGGAGGTGAGGGATACCAGCTTTGGGTGTGCCTCTTTTCTCTCCCCAGTTGCCTCACCCAATTTTCCTGCAGTCCCCTTGGTTTGTAAATTGCCTGCATTTATTCTGTCAGCCAACATGTACAAAATGTAAGAAAGAATTTTTAAACAGGTAATAAATTATATTTATAAGCAACAAAGAGTGCCTGCTCTATTTCTTTATAATATGGAAATAGTTCGTGTCAGGAATTATTGTGAATTTCTTCAATAAGTTGAAAGCCCTTTGGGTCCTGTTTGAATGGTAATCATAACCTTCCTCCATGGTGGGTTGAAGTTCTAGAAGGATGTTTCTCCAACATCATTACACACTGCAATCTCTGGGCCAGTGCCTCCAATCCACCTCTGGAGACTCTGGTTTCCTTGGTCTGAGTGCAACTCTAACTGTGAGTGTGAGAAAGATTTCAGGTGATACCAGCAAGCAGTCAATGGAGCATCTTCCAGCCCCCGCATCACCATTTTTCTGGAGCAGATTGTAAACATGCTCATGCTCTACACGCAAAGATCCAATCTCAAGTGGAGTTTGTAAATAACTACAATAACAGGAAAGTAAAGGCAAACTCCATGGCCCAGCCCTGAGCTCTTGTGAATCCCAGATGTGTGTCTGAGACAGTACAGGTCTGCATTTACTCTGGTGAGAAAGTAGGACATTTCTAGGTTTGAGGTGGAAGGCGGCTATGCCTCTGAGGAGGAAGAGCAGAGGCAGCTCATTCCTCAGTGACAGACGGATCTGGAGAAGTACTATAGATTGACTGCCATCTTCCCCTTGACCTTTTTTTCTTATCCTGGCTAGCAGACAAAGGTAAGTCACTGCACTACAGAGGAGAACATTCACCTCTAGGAGCTCCACAATGGTGACAAACTCGGGTAGTTGTTCAAGGGATAAAGAAGTAAAGAAAACATGTCAAAGGGCCTTGCATAGACTCGACGGGTTGTCTGTGGATAAAAGAATGAAAATTTGATTAAGAAGCAAATAAAAGCAGTTAGTCACAGGAAAACACACACATGTTCCATACTAGAGTTCAGCCTCTGCCCCTCCTTTGAGCTTCAATAGCTAGAAGTTGCATTGACAATGCCACCAGAGTTTGGAGAAAATGCAAATGTTTTTCAAGGTCAAATCAGGGAGTCCTCATCCACTGCCTATGAGGTCATTAGAGTCTTGAGATTGACCTGTCTCTGAATCCATCCTCAATGTCAATGTATGGTAGTGAGTAAAGACTCTTCCTCTGTCTCAGAGACCCTCTGACTGGGTAAATATCAGAAGCTTGAGTGGGAATTACATAGACCAGATAGTTCTCCTGATTGAGGAGATTTCTGAACTTTGATGCTATTTCAGATGAGAAAGCAAACCTGTCTAATATAAAGTGACCCACAGAAAGCGAAAACCCCACTTTCCTCAGCCAATTCTGATACTTGCCTTTGAGTCCTGAGAGGCTTGGCTTGAACCATAACATGCAGAAGTTGGAGAATAGGAAATGTGGGTTCCAAAAGCAAGCCTCCTCAGGCTTTGAGCTGTTGTTAGCCATACATCCACCAAAAGTGTCAGAAAAGAGGCTGGACTGATGAGCAACTACAATGCCCCATCACGAACAGCTATATACTTTATATATTCATCTTATTTTGTTAAAATAAGAGCCCAGAGGTGTAGCAGGAATCTTAAATGATCTTATTAATAAAAACAAACCTGAGGCCAGTTATTGGGGTGAATGCTGGAAGACCAGAGAAGCAGAACAAGCCACAGCCACCTCACCTCGCCAGTTCCTCAGCTGATCCTTTTTCCTTAGACTGGAAGCTTCTGTGTCCCCATTCGAATGGCTCTCAGCTGAACTGCTGCTCGAAAGCCTGAAGCTTAACAGCTAAAAGCTTAACCCAGCCAAATGCTTCTAGTTTCTGGTCTCCACGCCTTATGTATCTTTCTGTTTTTGCCATCACTCCCTGGGATTAAAGGCTCACTTCTTGGGATTAAAGGTGTGTGTCACCATGTCTGGCTGTTTCCAATGTGGCCTTGAACTCACAGAGATCCAGAGGGATTTCTACCTCTGGAGTGCTAGGATTAAAGGTGTGAGTGGCACCATTTTCTAGCCTTTGTATCTAGTGGCTGTTCTGTCTCTGACCCCAGCTAAGTTTATTAGGTTTCACAATATTTTGGGGAACACAATACTACCACATAGAGGCCATTTTATCTCAAGGTACAGATGAAAATATTGGGGCTCACAGATTACATATTTCTGAAAAATCATGAAAGTGAAAATGAGGGAATAGAGCTAAGTTAATCTGCACACCAAATATTAGGGTACACTCTCTTGGCACAAGTGCAGCAGACTAAAATGCCAGACATCAGGACTTTCAATCCTTGGTTACTACGTCAGGAACCATTCTTACTGTCCAAACAGTCCTGGGCTTCCTCTGTCTTTCCAATCTCAAATAGATCCCCTCAGAAACAAGCTTCCCACCCTGCCCTCCAGACTCACACTCAACGGAAGAGCAACCTTGGCTCCTTTCCCTTTGCAGAGGACTTCCATGGCAGTGCTTTTGAGTCAAGAACAAGGGTCTCATTCCCACACACACAGAAAGAGCCAGTCTCTCTCACACCATCCTGAGGCTTTCTTACTGTCACCCTTAGTTCTTGCCCTTCAGATCCTTAGGTCCTTCAAGTTCATCTTTAGATCCAGTCCTCTCCCCCATTGACTTCCTACTCATTATTGCATGGCCCTTGGAGAATTTGACCCTCTTGAAGCTCAAGAAGTTCAAATCTTCTTGAAGCTGCCGCCATCCTGCCGATTTCAAAATCCACAAGAACAAATCTAAAAGCCTAGCCTCTGGGCTTTCGTGACCAACAATCATGTCCACAAATTTAAGCCTACCATCTCAGATGACACCCTCTACCTGTCCTCGGTCTAGCTCTTCAAAATCTGGATTTCAATCACAGCCCGTCTCAGTAAGCACTAGCACATTGCACAAGCACTATCAGATGCAGTTTCTTTCTCTTTAGTGACTGTGTCTTATGCCCTACTCTGGAGGTCCATGACACACAGCCCTTTGGCAACAATTCTTTTCCTGGGCACACTGATTAAACCCTAAGATGTCTCTGTACCTATATCTGGAGTGAGATTTAAAAAAAAAATCACAAGCAACCAAATCAAGGGGTGCCATGAACCTGTACTAAGAACTGAGACTAGGTGGGTGCTTACCTAGGCATCTGTGCAATAGGTGTCACTGGTGGTCTCAACTGCAAGGGGAAGAAACAAACTTCAGAAGTTCAGACTGAACCCTATTCTCACAGCACTGACTCGAGAGTGAGCCTTGGTCCTCGTGCAGCTCTGGGATCTGCTGACCCACATTCGGTATTAACAACCTCTACTGGTCCTCAGTGTCGCCCACGGCCAGCTGGCTGCTTCCCCAGTAAGCTGGAATTTTCCACAGGGAAACTTTACACTTTCTTCATTTCTCTCAAACCACCAGCTAGCCACCCCCCCCCCCCCCACCAGACGACTGCGTTTCCTAAACGGAGAGAGTGGAAGGCATCAGTCCACGCCTCCCCTCCTGCCACACAGGGTACACATTCGCCTCCTCTGCCTTCTTTACTGCTGCCGCCTTCCCACTTGCGGTCATGAGGTCATTTCCAAACCAAAGACAAGACACAACTATGAGACAACAGTCACGGTTCTTCTATGGGGGAATGACATCATTTATTGAAGGAAATAGGAAAACAGCTCATACACAATTTGTAACAAATACAATTGTTTGTTCCCTAACCCCGAATAATTACAGTATATACAAATTCCATAAGGCACTGGTTCCCCCTAAAGAACACAAATGAGACTTCTTTTGAAACAGAAAAGAATACCCCCACATAGTGCCAGCTTTTCTCTTTAAAAATACGGCATTAGTTTATGTAACAATTCGTTCTAATTGTTAAATAGTGTCATTTTTTTATGCAGCCCCTTTCATTTCCACTGTTTATGGGACTGGGGGTTTCTGGGGTGGTATAACCACCAAAACATGTTCAAATTTTTAAAAAATGTATTTTTCTCACTGCCTTTCCACCCACAAAGTGTGAGAACAGTTGAACAATATAAAATTCCTGATGAATATGCATGGCCCTAGGAACTTTACAGTCAGTCATCATTAAGTACTTGTTATCCTTGACTACACACCAATTGAAATGTGTCAAATAATTCCCTGCAAATAAAATCCCAGCATGCCATCTAAGAAGCTTTCTGCTTGAGGAATATAAAATGGTCAGGAGTGACTTCGGGGTACTCTGTCCAAGAGATCAGACATGGTGCTCACTGCTCTTCATTTGTGAGTTAACAATCTACATGCTTCCATAAATAAATATTATGTTTCATTTAGGACTTTATCATCCATAATATTTTACTCTCTAATCCACATACTAGAGTTGTGCCAGACTCCAGGATGAACATATTTACATATACATCTATATTTATATAATATATACACACATACATCAACCATAAACTTGAACATACAAAGCTTATCTAACAATAATTTAGGATTCCTTTTGGGGGAGAGAAATTAGAAGTAAATCTTACTCTTTGAAAGAGCCCTGAAGGTAAGCAGCAGTCAATTATATTAATAATTTGCAGGAAGTGAAAGCAAAAGATAAAATAACTTTCATTTCTGATATGCTAGAAGTTTAGAAGTTATCATGGATTATTGGGAAATGAACAGGTAGTCCTTAACAACAACTTAGTTTTATTAAGTAGATTTTCATAAGACAGAAATTATATTCATAAATAAATTATAAATTCTTACTTCATTGAAAATTGGTAATAACTGAGTGGATCTTTTAAAGTATCTCAATAATTTCAAGATTTTCATATTGAATAAATAAGGTTGATAATTAGAAAGTAAGCTGTGATTTTTCCCTAAGCAACAAAATGAACAATGTGGATGAGATCTGGGCTCTCAAGTTTCTCCCCATTCTTCACTGGAACCCTAGAAATCTAGTAAACTTTATGTCATCAACAGACTCACCACAAAACATTCTGGTTTGATGTTATCAATGTTTTAAAAATCTACTGATAAGAAAACACAGCTTGACCCCACAACCTCAATTAAACCGAAGGAAAACTAAGAAAAAAAAAAATCAAGACATACTCAGTTAACTAGCAAAATG